TGTATTGGAGAACGGTATGTATGAGTCTCAATCTTGACGATGCGATCGTCGAAGATCGGTTCGTCTTTTTTTTATTCGCATTTTATTCACATTTTATTCACATTTCACTGGTTTTCGTACGTATTAAAAACTAAAGCCGATAGTTCGCAATCGACTGATATCCATTGAAGATGTCGCTATCGCGTATAGCATTCTCAGACGCGATGTTGGAGAATCGCTTATACTTAATATACTAATCGACGAGTCGTTCGTTGTCTCGATATATACATATGTTTATACATACATTTATTCATATTTATAAATACGTTCATACATACGTTTATATACCCATCAAAGTCAAACATATGGCGTAGCGTCGTTTCAATCGTAATGTATCGAGACGTACGAGCATAGCATCATTCAGCGTGCAAACGCTGACGATTAGTGATCAAAACGCTTATAAAATTGTCCTTGTATTCGTATTTCGAAGCATCTTGTAAATATCCTCTGCTCGTAGAGGCTCTTCCACATTTCGAGAGACAGCGACAGTTCGTATCCGCGATGGGGATACGAACTATTGCTAGGGCAATCTACGTAACTCAGTAGACCAACGTTGATTGCAATTTCCAAAAATGTATACTTCCTTTATTCATCAGATCGTAACATCTATTCAATAAACGCATCGCGCGATACTCCATGCTATATACGTACATAATGTTAAAAACGTTTCTTTTTGTGTATAGAACATTGAAACTACATGTTACTCGTATCTTCTTTTTTCACGATGCACTGCTCTCTTTGGCAAAATATATTTTTTTCAACCATTCGTAAAAAAAGCATCGTATCGTAAGACTGATTGCATCCGCATAAATTGTGACATATATGATAATACTTCTGGAATCATAGAGAGGAAGTACGCCTTCCCTTTTTTTCCAAGAATTTCGAACGTGTCGCGATACGTTTTATCACGTCTTTCTACGTGTTTCCTTTGTCACGAGTCATACATACGTTTATACATACATTTATACGTACGTTTATACATACATATGTTCATACATACGTTTATTCATACGTTTATACGCTCACACATACATTTATACATATGTTTATACATACATTTATACATACGTTTATATGTACATTCATACGTATATGTACGTTCACACATACGTTTACACATACGTTTATATACTATATGGGGTGAAAAGTCTCGGGATTTTTAATGAAAAGCGTTTTTTGGGCAAAGTTATATTTATTCCTCAACATAATTGCCTTCGAAGGCGATACACTTGGTATAGCGATTTTCCAACATTTCGATGGCCTTTCTGTAGTACGAAACGTCCAAGCCTTCGAAATACGCCTCGGTTTCTGCGATGATTTCCTCATTCGATGTGAATCTCTTTCTCTGGAGCCACCGCTTGAGGTTTGGGAACAGATAATAGTCGCTGAGGGCCAAGTCTGGAAAATACGATGGGTGAGTAACCAATTCGAATCGTAATTGGTCCAATTTGGCCATCGTTTTCAAGGACGTGTGTGACAGTGCGTTATCGTGATGGTACAGAACGAAGGCGAAAGTAGTGCCACTTAAATGACTGTAGCTTGTAAACGAATGAACGAAATGTCATGAAACTTCATACATAAACTAGTGACAGATGAACCTCTCGAAATAAATCATGTTCATTTTCTAATGGCGCCACGTATTGAAAAATCCCGGGACTTTTCAGCCTATGTAGTATACGTTTATACGTATTTACGTTCATATATACGTTTATACATATATTTATACATATATTATAAAGGAATCGAAAAGAAATACATAAATACGTATTTTTATTTAAAAAATTCTTTTGCAACTACCAGTTATATATTTTCAATACACTTTGTAACGCGCAATTCTTAACACGTCCGCATCATATATTGTAGTATTAGTAACATCTAGATTAGATAAAGATTCCTTGTCTTTGTAAATTGCATCCAAGGTTTTGATGTACATGTGTTTTCGCTCATCGTCAGAAGCAAGTTCACAGCCACGTTTCTCATGTTCCTTGACGTACACGATAATATCATCTTCAAATATAGCCGTCATAATCAGACGTTTCATCTCGTTGTATGGGACTATCCCGTTGTATGGGATCATCTTCCCATTGCAATCCATGATGCAATCAACCAGGAAGTGCAAGACTTGTCGGATCTTGTCAAAAATTTCCAAAAATTTGGTACGGAACTCGTAAAAAATGTAATGCGTGAGAACGGTTCCCCGTTTCAGCATTGCCACTTCCTTCACGATAAATTTCTTATTAACGATGAATCCTTGCAGATCCAAAAACATTGGCACGGGCATGTCGAGAAGACTAAGGTTGATTGCGATATATCGTTGATTTTATACCGTGTCGAAGGTGCATTTAGGCGATTTTGTGGACAACGATGATCAATGGATTATACTGAGCTACGCAATCGTGTATGAGACAATAGGCTATTGTATTTACAAGCACATTCTCCTGCAGTTAAATTCTATGCATACGTCCACAGTGGCACTATTGACGAATTCGTTGTGTGTTTTCGCGAACAATGATCCCAAAAGGACCTTTCTCGATAAATGAAAGCACATTGAGTAGCGTTTCGAAACAATCGATTCCACAATATGCTCTGCGAAAACGCTTGTACATATCAAATAGAACGGTGTATCTCTTTTTGCCAAAATCCAAGTTTTAATCCGTCGTATGGATAAAACACTGAATTAGATAAAGTTTCACGTTATTCAAATTACAACTGTCGAACATGTTAATATCTTGTGACATGATATTCTTTCGACTGGTTTGCAGAGCAAAGATAATGTATGTGATGTCGAGGCTTCTCAAGCTGAGTCGTTTTGATAGCCCATGAATGGGCTTGGTCATATTCTGTAACAGAAGATACTCGTACAGATCACACGAGCGAAAACTCACGTTCAGATAACGACCATTTTCTAATGCTCGCATTGATAATTTATTGACCTCGTTTAATGCAACATGAGTCGCCACTGTATTTTAAATAATTCAATCTCAGATTCCGTCACAGGATTTCCCACAAAGCAATTGTAATTGTTGCGCGTTCGTATCAAAATCAATTCGTCGATCAGGCTTTTAATCTTCGTAAAAGCCCAACAGCATGCTGAGCGGCACGCAAAAATTAAAGTGTCCTTCCTCCGTGTCAGATTTAGAGCTTCATCCAACGTTCAAAGCTTTATTGCACGTCTTTGACACGTAAATCTTGAGTGCTGGTTATGCCCACGTTTCGGTTGTGATCAATCTCCACATCCTTGAATTCATATCGAATTTCATGAAAATGAACGCCACGCAATTATTTACAAGCGTCGGTGACATCTGACCGTTTTTCTTTTTCTCCGTCAATCTTCTTTCGACATAGAAAAAAACTTTCGCACGGCAACGTGTACAAATCCTATTGCTGTATGGGTATTTTTATCTCGTCGCTATACCCGAATGTTGTATTAGCGAATGGATTGTACGTATGAATCTTATTCTTGACGATGCGATCATCAAAGATCGGTAATATTCAAGATATCAATCATCTCAAAAGTTGTGCACCGCGAATCTAAAAGATTGTAAAAATTTAATGTTCGACGCGCTGAGCTTCTTCTTGCTGATGCAGTTAGATGAGCGAGTGTTATCGAGCCGATGTTATTGGCCTTGTAAAGAATGCGTTACTCTCTGCGTGCACTTCGCTTCGTTCAATACGAGCATTTCATGCTCGCGTTATCGCTGTCGCACACGCAATCTGACGGTGATCTCCTCTCCGCGAAAATCGTGCAATCATTCGTTCTAATCGATGACATATCATTAGATTCATAATGCTCCGTGCGGTGATCGACAAGTAAATGATCTGCGCTTCTCTGATATCTTATATCCTGGCGACACACTCGGCGATAATTCGTGTGCGCATTTTTGCCATTGCTGTACGCGCCCGCGGTTACATTAAACTCTATGCGGATAATGTTTACGTTCATTATGTGTTACGTTTATTGATGACATGTCCGATTCGTGTCAGCTTCGCGGCCGCAGTATATACTTCCATGAGAATCCCAGCAGCGATCGAATGCTGTTGGGCTTGCCAAAGTTTATTCTGTATGCACATCTAATCTCGCATCTCTTCGTGTTATAGTTTGCGCGAAGCGTAATAGAGTATTCTCCAATCGTATCATTATCATCATCGGTATCATTATTGTTATTGTCACCACGCGCACGTCAACGGATTCAAGCGCGTCGCGGTACGTTTCAAAAATTTATTTATGTCTCGCACTCGTACGAACACTCGGGAATTGTAATTTCTGCGTCGTCTTCGCTGAAATAAAATTTATTGCTCGATTTGTTTACATTCGGTATCGTGTGATAAGTCTCAAAAATCAGACCGAGTTCGAAATCGCCGTCTTAAATCTATGGAGGGAAAATAGTTCGCCGCGAGGACGGTGATCTTCCCATTCAGTGTAAGTGTCAGCGACATGACGGAAAAAGCGTTACACTAATACTGAAATTTCATAGCACTTTGAGCTTTTTAAATTCGCGTGTCTACCGTAGAAATCATAGACACATCTGTCCGCAGAAGCATAGGATGTGCTCTATCGTCATTGTTTCTGAAATACCAGTTCTTTGGTCCAAGATTATCGAAACTGTCAAAATACACGATTGTTCCTCTTTGCGAACGCTATCCAGTGAGTATCAGATCCCATTGCATCGTCCAGATTCATGAGATCACTTTCGTTTCGGCGCGCGCTGCTCGTCAGCGTAATGCGCATGAAAACGTTTTTAAAGTATGGCATGCGCATACATCTCGCGAGCTCGTTCAATTACAAGTTAGTAATTGCACCCAAGAGCATTTTTATCGTCTCTTTGGCGTGTTTTTTTTTCTTTGCTGCTACGCCTTGTCCGCGCTTGTCCGCTCTGAGAGATATGGACTCGTCCGTATCGTCGAGGAATTGCATGCTTCGAAAAGAAATTTTCCGCGAAGGCGCGTCATAGTTCAAGAATATGACCATCTGTGGCAGGCTGATATCATCGAGACCTGTACTCGAGCTTCAAAGCAAAGGCTGCCACTACATACTCACCGTCATCGACGTGTTGAGCAAGTACGCGTGGGCTGTACCGTTCAAGAGCAAGTGTGGAAGCGAGACGGCTAATGCTGAGATAATTCGAGAGAGTAAATGTCCGAAAAATTTCCAAACGGATATGGGGAAAGAGTTTTACAACGCCGACAGAAAATCTTTAAAAAACACGTTAATCACTATTTCACATATAGACGTTGAAAGCATCAGTGCGATTCAATCGCACGCTCAAGAACGACATGTGGAAGATGTTTATGCTCATTGGCAATTACAAGTGAGTCGATGAACCGCGTCTCGTGTCAAATTACAATGCGCGCAATCATCGCACCATCGACCCGACGTAAGACTCCCGCGATCGCCGAAAGACTCTTGGATATAGTGTACAGCACGATAAAGATCGCGGATCCTGCAAAATTCAAAATAGGCGATTCGATATGAATGAACAAGTACAAGATGATTGAGAAGCATTACATGCCAAATTGGACCACTGAAGTGTTTACAATCATTAAAGCGCAACGTATCAATACCGTAACCTATTTACTCGAGGATTATCGCAAAAAACCGATTGCTGGAGGATTCTACGAGTTCGAGTTACATCGCGTTAATCCGGACGTGTATCTCGTAGAGAAAGTACTGCGCAGGAAGAGAGACAAGATGTACGTCAAGTAGTTGGGATTTGATGGATCGCACAATTCATGAATACAAGAACAATGTTATTTGATAAAATTTTAATTTATATATTTTGTATAGATGTAACAAAAATATTAATATAAATATATAAACACATATTTTTTTATTACTTCCCATTCATCTTCGTTTTGGAGCATACAGATATAAAATACGTATACAAATATACATGAAAAATAATAGTAATACATAATAAATGATACATGATGATATAAAACATAATAATAATACTTATACAAATGTAAAAAACATGCGTGATGTATAAATTATAATGATAATATTAGGTATGGGAAAAAGTTCGTGGCGTTTTTTAATGCCATCTAACGGGAAAATGAACTTTTTCCCACACCTAATAGTATAATATTAACATGTACACTGTATGAAAATATTAAAAAAAAATATATAGAAAAATATACACAAAGTACAAATTAAGATAATACATAAAACATAATAGTGATACATATATACTATATGAAAATATAAAAAAATATAAGAAACATAATACTAATATAAATATTGATACGTATTACAAAGGTATCCGCCAGTGCCCCCACGGTAACATCTCCGTCGAATCCGATACGACGTATCGTTTATCATCGTATGAACTCAGAGCGATTTTCGATTCGGATATATTGTACCTGGTGTAATTTAGATCATATACACGATTGGTGGCGAGTAATTTCGATCTCTTCGTCCAAACACCGCATGTAATCGTCGAATGTTATCGTTCACACTACGACGTTATTTTTTACATCTTTCACCTTTTTAATTTCTTTCTTGCCGTCACTGTGTACATCTTTGATCTGAGACCAACGAATTCGGTCATTATCACACCGCTATTTTCGTCTTTCATCAGACTTTACTTTTGTTCGCGAGAGGCATATTGTACGCGTTGTCCATCGGATAATCGTATCAACTCTAGATATCGCGTTTCATAGTTTCGTAAACATTCTTGCACTTAATGCGTTATGTAAGCCTGTTCGTGTCGGTGTACATAATTTTACATTTGTCGCGAAACAGTATGGTAACGTATACTCATGGTGAAATTCAAGTAGACTTTCGATTTGTCGAGTATACCTACGTACGAGTAAATCGGCTTGTTGAACTTCATCTCATTTGCGCAGTTCGACGGCGATCAAATTTTCTGCAAAGACACTACGGCTATGGAAAGCCGGTTTCGCAATCATTGCCTCTGCACCGTACCGTCCATCCCATTTTGTTAATAATTTTACGTCAACGTGGTTGCGTACATTCTCCATAGTTTTACCGAAACCGCGTTGTTCAATAATTTGTATAGATTTTTCTCGAAATCGTTTTTCGAGCACGTTCTAAATTGTGTATTCAGTTCAATGTAATCGCGAAGCTATAGTGATTGCGCGAATTGTAGCACCCGATGAATCTTTGTTACACGAAGACCGTAACGAATATATTGCTGTAAGTTTCAGTATGATGTAACGCTGCTTATCGTACAGCGTCACTAGAAGTTTATCTTCGCGCTGGGCGATTAATCGCGCGTCAGAGAGAAAGGTAAATCAGTGTGTTGGTCATATAGATGCTGTGGATACTCGAGATCTACCTCGAGAATGTAACCGATGAATCCGGAGCGATCGCGCTGACGTCAAAGTTCACAGCGTCTTCGACCAATCGGCGAATGACATATCGGTGATTGACACATCGCTATCCGTATAAATTTTTAACATCGTGGTACATCAAGTATGACGGTTTCGATGAGTTGTACGAACGCATGTACTTGTTATTAGTCTGCGCGTATTGACGTTATTAGTCTGCTTGAATATTGACTAAGATCGCCGCATATACCGCGCTTGATGAACATGATATCGATGTCGATGAGTAACTCAAACTTTACGCGTATATTTTAACATCGCGTCCCACGTGAAACCAGGTAAAGTATAATAAGGCGCGGGATCGTAAGTCGAGATCGTAACTCGTGACACAATTCTTGCGAAAATTTTCGAAAATGACGGCCAATAACAAGTTATCGATTTTCAAATACAGATCACTGTAAGCGCGTGTCCTGCAATTTCTCGACGCAGTCAACTCGTACGGAAAGACACCTTTACAAATCAGTAATTCAAATTCTTCATTCGATAGTGTTGAAAATTTGGAACGTACGATTTGTCTCTATTTAGAAATGATGACGCCAATTTATCGAGGCTTGCACTGAGAAATTTAAATGAATCGATGAACCATAATTTTATGCATTTTCGCGAGCCTGCTCTCTCGGTGATATCTTTAATATATTTAGTCTTTATTAATTATTTTATGAATATATTTTTTTTTGGTTATCGGTAACACATCTACATGTCCTTCGTACGCGACAGCAATTTCTTTAATTATAAAGTGCGCGTTGTAGTCCGATAAATTGTGAAAAACGATTGGAATATATAATAAATTTTTATAATTAAGATTGCAATTTGCATGCCTTGGATCACAGTATCTACTGATGAGATGGCAATGATCGCAGATCCGCATATCGGCCGACGCAAATGGTTTCTAGCAAATGTAACACCGCGTTGCACTACGGTACGTCTCGCATTGTTCTTTCGACAATGTTTCCATGGGCACGTTGGCGGATACGATATTTTTCATTCGATGCGCCAAATCATTGAATTGTTATGCGAACCACGCTATACAGTCTTCATCGCGACGGAAGTGATATGACGATAACGCGTCGTCGTACGAATATCGTACGTAGTACTCTATACTAAATATCTCGTTGCCGTTGATACATATACGAAGACGCATCTTCCCTGTTGGATTCCATCTTCCATAGAATGCACTCTAACGATGAATGGGACACGTGCCTTATTGCAGTGGTTCCCAAATTCGAATCACTTGTCGTCCACACTCAGCAGTTTGATCGTGCAGTCGTTGATTTTCTGGCAGTCCATTACGACTGCAATTTTTCGTTCATATTGAAGTAGTGCAAGCATTTAAAAAAAACAAAAAATTATAACTATTATTTTTTATTAGTATGACGAAAAATTATAATAATTTTTTTTATATGTAATTATCGATCGCAGAAAAATTTTTTGTTTTTATTCCTAGTAATTTGCGATCTCACGAGACAGAATAGATTTTTATCCATGCAAAGTGCCTGAGGCTGTCGTTGCGTGAATCTTGCATGTACAGCACATGTTTCTCCTTCTTGTCACTGGTGAGTCGTAGAGGAAGGACTTGTTTATTATCGATACCGTTGGTTGATACAACGTTTAAACATTTGAATTTAGAAATGTCTTTTAAAGTCATTGGAAATTCAATGTTTGTAAGATTCAATATTGATGTATAATGCAGATTCGATGACTCTCGCTCCATATACTTTTCATCCGGGTACAGAGCGATCATCGACCACGCGAAGCATTGTTCGTTGTGCACACTGATCACCGCTCGTTTCATCGTTATTTCCCGCGGCATTTTGATGTGACATCTCGCGCGCATGGGATTTAATTTGTTCACGTTCACTACTAAATTGAAAATTCGCGACAATGCCCACCCTCTGTCGCTTTCCTGGAAATCTTCGAGTGATGCTAGGATAGGTTCGATAACGTGCTGCTCGTATCACTCGCGCAAATCGGTGTATCGGTATATCTTGCTGTTCTTTGTAATTATACTTTTATTAGCACGTTCCCTTCATCGCAAATTCGCCATTGAACGCGGTGTTCACTTTTACATTACCGTGTCTTTCTATAGCGTCTCGCACTCGCTCTAAAACTGCATTGCTAGCGTCTCCCAAAAACCGTCGCGACTCGATGTAATTAGAGTTTATCGCCGCATCTGTCAATATACGGCTTTCAAACGCGGCGTCAATCTCTCGCCAGATGAGAGATCTTTCGTTGCCACTCGCGTACTCGCCACTCGCGTACTCGCCATCATGTGCACGAAACGTTCCAATTGCAATTTTGCACCCACAAGTCGCGCAATCCTCGCCACCGCGGATTGTTTGAGTTCAACGGCGAGGCGCCTGGCATGACAAAGTTCTTCGGCCGCTCGATGCATGCATCATTGCAACTACGCGAAACACTCCATCAGAGTAGCGATCTGACTGCACTGCTCCAACAGTTCGCGTTCCACTCGTAGTTTTCCATATCTTTTTTTTTATTTATTTTTTTTGCTTTTTGTCTTTATATAACACTCTTACATGGAACACTTACACGTGATTCCTTCACACATGTGCAGTACCGCTTTACATCTAGAATGTCATACTTTTATAACCTTGGTATTATGTTCTTCTACTAAGATGCACTCTTTACATGGATAGCATAATTGATTACGCATATACTTATTAAACAGATCACGAAACACTTTTTTAGCAGAATTCTCTTCGCGATCGTAATATGACATCATTAGTATGGCTTTGTCCGTTATCATCACTTCGACGCACTTTTCATTCGCGAGAATCTTAATACGCTTGCAGCTATATTGAATTTTCTTTTCATTTTGCATTGACTATTCCTTTATTAAATCGAGAGTTTTACCAAAATTTCTCTTCGAAGTCAGTGTACACCGTTTCGTCTCCTAATCGTCTGAACTATTCTTTTTCATCATCGTTATCGTCATTGATAATGACTCTCTCTTTCGCACCACGTGTACTTATTTCTCGATCGCGTAAAAACTGCATCGGCGATATTCGAATATCTTTGTCTCTCCTTCGCAGATCAGAGTCTTCAGACACACTTTTTGCGTTCATTTTTTTTTCACAATACATTCATAATAGTTTTTCAATGTGTGCAATGTGAGCACTTGTTGCACGGAAATATAATGTACATTGGTACTCTGCAATTCGTGCAAGACCGACTGCTTAGCGCGTCAATATAATCGAGATTGTGCTTCCTTACAAGATACATTCTCACAACATCAGCTAAATCATGCATGCTGCACTTATAGTTAAACACCATCCGTTGTATAGTAACACTAGATCATGCAATGTTTAATACGACCGTTCAGTGCA